GCGAGCCAGGACCTTTGCCTACAGCGCCCGTCCCCGCACGTCCGACGACGCGTTCATGTCCGTGCGCGGCCCCAGAAGTGCCGGCCGCTTCCCCTGGAAGGGTTTTGCGCCCCGGGCCCAGGCTTGGTGCCCCCCTTGGCCCGACAACGGCCTCCGAGGGCTCCACTCGGGGACAAGAAGACACCGCCGGGCCAGAGCAGACAGAAGATCCAATCGTCAAGCAGAGGCGAAGAGTCCTGGCTCGCCTATAGCCCCACCAAACAATGTTCTAAGAACCTTTTGTGGTTTCCACGAAATGTTCTTTGAACATTTCTGGTTGATATTGTCTTGTTTTAACACAGCGGGTTTATGTTCTAAGAACACTGTTTTTGTTCTTAGAACATTTTGGGGGTTCTAAGAACATTTCGTAGTATGACTATAGGAATGCTGGGACGGTCGGCCCCTGCTCAACATCGTCGGATGTCGGGGGCTTCTTTTGTGCTCATCTTGCGCACAGCCGTCGCAGGCGCACGGTGCCGCATCGAGTGCCGCTGCCGCCCCCCCGCCTGCAGGACACCTCGGCGCCGGCTGTGCCGGGCAGTCCTCGCCCTCTGGAGGCGGCAGCCTCCGGGGCGGCGGCGCCCGCGGCGCCCCTGACGGCCAGCTTCCTGCGGGTCGGGGCGGGGCGCCGTTTCGGCCACGCGCAGAGGGTGCCCGGACCGCTCGCGCTGTGACAAATCACGACGGGAGGTGTTTCTCGATTCGCGGCCTCCGAGGGGCCCTTCCCAGGCCTCGGGACCGTTAACAAAAAAAGACTCTGGGCGAAGCACCGCTCCCGGGGAACGGGTCGAGTCTCCGGGGGATCGACGTGCTGAACAAATTCTTCACCAGTACGACTCGCCGCTTGAGCTCTTGCCCGCGGCCGCGACCAAAAAAAGTATCCCCACCAGCCCGTTCAGAACCCCTGCCCATGAGAGTTGACGGGAAAAGGGACGAAGAGACACATCTTAAATGTGTCTCTTCGTCCCATCTTGACGGAAAAGAGACACATCTTGACGGAGAGGGCATGCGAACACAGGCCGCGGGCACGTGATCTGTCTACAAGAGTCGCCACACCACTGCTACCATCAGCTGGGAAGGTTTAAGCACCCACCTCATGTTAGCAAATCCCTAACCCTGCCCTTTACTATCCCCCCCTTTCGTCCGTCCCGAATCTAGGGAAACAAAGCGAACAACCTGGGTGAACCGAGAGATCTCTGGGAGCAAGGAGGTGGCCTTGGAAGGCTTCTTCGGGCCATCCCTGGGTTCCGCGTGGGTTCGAAGGGAAGAGGAGAGCAGGAGGAGGATGAGGACGAGGAGGAATAGGAGGACGAGCACGCGGATGAGGACGAGGAGGACGAGGACTAGGCTGCTGCTGCTGCTGCTGCTGCTTCTGCTGCTGCTGCTGGTGCTCTCTGGGAGTTTGGGGGGCCCTCTTGGAACCCTCTTGGTAACCTTGGAGGGCTTCTTGGGATCATCTTGCAGGCCATCGATTACAGGATGGGCGGGGTCCCCAACTCAGCCTCCCCCTCAGGAGCCAGCAACCCGCTTCTTTGGGCTCCCTTGGAGCGTTATTGGAGCGGTCTTGGGGCCGTTTGGAGCCATCTTGAGCCAGCTTGGGTTATTGGAGCCATTTTGGAGGTCATCTTGGGCTCTCTGAGGCCGCTCGGGGGCCTCTTGGGGGCCTCTCGGGTGCCTCTTGGGGCCCTCTTGGGATCCTCTTGGAGCCCTCTTGGGGCTCTCTTGGGAGCCCTGGAGCGCCTCTCGGGGCCGTCTTCGAGGCTATCGATCAAAGGAGGGAAGCTCCCGATCGAGGTCCCCCCCTCGGGGGCCACGATCCTCGTGAGGGGTGTCCACAATTGGCCCTCCCAGGGGCCGAAAAAGGGCCCTCCAAGACCCGCGACCGCCGTTCAAAAAGGCCAGGGGAAGGGGGGAGTGGGAGGGGTCAAGACTCCATCCTCGCCCGCAAGCCGTCTCGCTCACTCCCACCCGCCCTCCCAACACATACGTAGCACCCGAGTCTGGCCCGAGCCTCAGCATATTCAGCAGTCGTCTTTGGATGGGCAGCTACTGGGGGCCAATCCGCCGCCGCCGCCGCCTCCGCCGCCGCCGTCGCCGCAACCGCCGCCGCCGCCGCCGCCGCTTCCGCTGCCCGCCGCCGCCGCCGCGCCGCCGCCGCCGCCGCCGCCGCCGCGCCGCCGCCGCCGCCCCCGCTGCTAAATCGCCGCCGCCGCAGCTGTTGCCGCCGCAGCCGCTGCCGCCACCGCCACCGCCGCCGCCACCGCCGCCGCCGCCGCAGCCGCCGCAGCCGCCGCAGCCGCCGCCGCAGCCGCCGCAGCCGCCGCCGCCGCAGCAGCCGCCGCAGCCGCCGCCGCCGCCGCCGAGTGTATCCGATTGTTATTGACAAGGATGGGGGCGGAGGCCGCATCGGGTTGGCTGCGCATGCTCCGAATTTGGAGGTAGAGTTTGTTTCGCATGGTTT